AGGTCTGCATCACCTTTACCTCAGGTGTGGCCAGTAACTCCTGATCCCAGACTCAGTCAAGGGATCTTGACTGAAACAAGTCAGCGGCCCTTGACCCACGCCTGCTGAGTACCCCTCTAGCTCCTGCAGGTGCCATGTTTTGGGGCTTCTTCCACAACAGCTCCTTGGGCAATTCCACGGCCCTGACATCAGGCCCAGCACAGACCCTAGCCCCCGGAGTGGCACTGCTCATGGCTCTGCCCACCCTGCACCTGCTGCATGCACGCTTTGGCCACCTTCCCTGGCCATGCCTGCTAGTCGGCCCTACCACACTGGCTTAGGAGGGCTTCCTGGTGGACAAGCCCCTGGCAGCTCAGGGCACAGGTCTCTGTCCACTGCTTTGCCATCCTGATGGGACGCCCCTGGGTGCTGGAGCCCGAGCTACCAACCCACAGCTGGCAGCCACGCTTTGCAGGGCAGGCTTTGCTCCCACCTCAGACCTTGCCAGGGACTCACTACTGAGTCTGCTGGCAGGAGACCTGGGGGTGGAGATGCCCTTGGCTGGGCCCAGGCCCACTTTGGAACCAGCGCAGCAGCTACCCATGGCCCAGGGCATCCTGTTCACCACCCCAGCCCAGAGCTGCTTGCACTGCTGGAGGCAGCCCTAGGGTCTGGGGCATCCAGCCTTGACCCCTGCCCACCAGTCTTGCAAACTGCTGTGAGCCCCAAGAGCGGCACCCTGGCCACCATGGACAGCAGCGGCTCTGTGTTCCTTCTCACCTCCTCGCTCAACAGCTCCCTTGGTTCTGCATACCTGTTCCCAGGCATGGGGGTTCTGCTCAGCAACACGACGGCCAAGTCTACCGCTAGTGCCTGGGCCTGTCCCCTCATCCTCCAGCCTGGATGACACAGAGGCCAATGTGTTGGGGCTAGTGGCTTCAAGGACCCCTGATATGGCCAGAGAAATGACTCACACTATACTCAGCTATCTGGCAGAGCCCCAAACCCAGGCCCAGCACCAGCACCAGGGCCAGCAAGAACCAACAGAGCAGCCCAGCACTTGTGGTCAAGGGATCCTGCTCCAGGTGGCAGCCTATGCAGAGCACGTGCATGTCTCCCGTGTCTCCCGTGTCCCCCATGGCTGCTGCCCCTACCAGGGGATCTAACAGGATCGGGATGGGTCTGGCACAAGACAGAGTTATCTGAAGCCTGGGGAAGGAGTAGAGCAGACCCAGCAGTAATGGAGTGTACCCCAGCTCACACCGGTCATCTCAAGCACTTTGGGTGGTCAAGGCAGGAAGATTCCTTGAGGCCAGGAGTTTGAAACCAGCCTAGACAGCATAGCAAGATCTTGTCTGTACCAAAAATTTTAAATTTGCCAGGTGCAGTGGCAGATGCCTGTTGTCCCAGCTACCTGGGATGCTGAGGCAGGAAGCTTGCTTGAGCCGGTAGTTCAAGGCTACAGGAGGCTAGGATTACACCATTGCACTCCAGCCTGGACAACATAGTGAGACCCTGTCTTTGGAAATAATAATAATAATAATGGCTGGGTGTGGTGGCTCATGCCTGTAATCACAGCACTTTGGGAGGCCTAGGCAGGTGAATCACCTGAGGCTAGGAGTTGGGCAATATGGCAAAACCCCATCTCTACTAAAAATATAAAAAACTTAGCTGGATGTGGTGGTGTACACCTGTAATCCTAGGTAGTTGGGAGGCTGAGGCATGAGAATTGCCTGAACCTGGGAGGTGGAGGTTGCAGTGAGCCAAGATCACACCACTGCACTTCACTCAGGGCAGCAAGAGTGAAGCCTCATTTAAAAAAAAGTGTGCATCTATTATGTGCTCACTGCTGGCTCAGGCCCCCAACCTCTGGCTTTTTCCATTAGCTAGATTTGAGTTGCAGGATCCAGAGCTAGCACAGTCATTCTCCAAACCACCCACACTGAGGGAATTGCTGGCTCCTTTGCCAGCTAAGGAACACGACGGTGATGAGGAATAAGCAACAGGGCCTGGGGCGAGCACTGAGTTCAGATCCAGCTTTTGGAAGGACAGCAGAAAGAGTGCAGAGCCTCTGCCTCGGCAAGCACTGGGCCCCAGGGAGCAGGGCAGGCAGAGCCCAGGTGCTGGCATCCTGTCCTTCCCTTCAGGGCACCCTCTACCCATCTTTCTCAACCAGACTGATACAAAATAAAGATCAAGTCTCCCGGAGGCCAAGAGCCATTCCTGCTTCTTTAATTTCCCATCAGCCTTGAAGCAATTGGAGTTGGGGCTTCCCTGATGGACAGCACAGGTGATCAGTAAACAGAGAGGGGAGAGCCTGGGTTGGTATCTTTCAGCTTCCACCCCGGCTCTGCTCACCTCCTGTCTCCTGGGGCACTAGATGTGCGAGGTAAATGTTTTAATCTCACTTTCTAGAACAGACAGCAAAGCAGGGAAGCAGTTGAGAGGGTGAGTTGGAGTTGAATGGGTGGAAATTCAAGGTGAAGGGTAGCCCTGACCTCCTCACAGCGTTAGGTCCTCTCTGGACCACAGCCTTCTGAAAACAGCTTCTCAAACCAGGAAGCAAGTTTGACCAGCAGCGCTTCCCTTCCCTGCCATTGTAAAAGGCTCCTCTGATGATTTAATAGACCCTTATTCCCACGACCTCCACCTTCCACTTCCAAGAAAATTCTTCTCCAGCTCAGTAATGGCACCACAATGTACTCAGTTATTTTAGTCCCAAACCTGGCATCCCCCTCACTTCCTCTCCCCCCACATCCAATCACCCACCCACCCCACCTGCTCCACATCAGCCGAAATCTGACCTGTTCTCATTTCCCTGGGTCCAGTCCACCACTGTCTCTAACTGGTCTTCCTGTTCTTCCTCTTGTGTGGACCTACGATCCATCATTTCCCACACAGCAGCCAGCATCACCTGGTGAGAATTTAAATTGGATCCAGGCCTGCCCCTGCATTAAACTCACCAATGACTTCTACCACACTCTGAGTGAAATCCTAGCCCGGGATCCTATGCAAACTTGCTTCTCTGAGCCACCTGGCAGCCTCAGCCCCTGCAGCCCTGGGCCTTTGCAGTTGTAAGGATTGGGATTTCCTCCCCTTAGATCCTTGCAGGAGTGGCCCAAATGTCAGCTACTTCCTGACAGAGGCCTTCCCTGACCGACCCCTCAAATCATTACCATAGACTCTGTTGAATGATAATTAGCGGCTGGTGCAAATAGATGCTCAGTACTGCAAAGAAAAATCGGCACTGAAACAAAGGATCTTTTAGCAATGCAATTTTTACTTCCTGGGCTACAGGAAGTAGCCACAAGAATATGAAAATAAAAGAAAGCAGACATATTTATTTCTCAGGCCTGGATGCTCTTTCACCCCACTTACAGGGGGAAGAGCAGGTAAAATGAGGTAATGACGGTCAGTGAAGGGTCATGTAAATCACGTGTCTTGGAGACTGAGGCCCAGGTGAGGAGAAAACCTAAGGCATCAGCACTTTTTTCCTATACTTGTCAAGAAATAACAAGGTCACTAAGATTTATGTTACTAATTCTTATATTCTAAGAAAAAGAGGAACCAGGTACAGAAGCAGAACTTGAGACCACTCAAGCACAGCACCACAGAGAAACAGTTAAGTCACTGGGTGTCTGTGGGCCTCCGTGACAGCGTCAGGCCTGCCACAAGAGCTTGGGGGAGCGGAGTTTTCTCCTTACTCCCCCAGGAAGACGTCCCGCCATCTTGGATGTGTCCTCCCCTAGCTGGCTAAACCGGGTGCTTTCAGAGCACTGACACAGTCGCACAGCCAAGGTGTCCTCCAGCAGCCCTTATGCGAGCATGACAGAGGGCTTAGAGCATCTGGCTTTAGCGTCACCTCTTTTCCAATGCCATGTCAGTCCCATACTTCCTGAGGCTTATAAGTAAGATTAGAGATTATATCATTACATACCTATATGTATGATTAATATGAAGAGCTATATGATTATGTGATTAAACATCTGTAGTTATGATTACATATAAATAGCTATATGATGATTACATATAGGAATAACTATATCTCTAATTCTTTTTTCTGGGTTTTTTTTTGCAAGATTGTTTACTAATTCTACACTTATATGAGAACATGCTGAGACTTCAGGCCCTTGCCTCGGCTCTTGCTGGGTTTCCCCCCACAGCTTAACAGTTACTAGCAGCTTATTCCTTGACAAGAAAGGAAACTTTAAAAGGAACCTTTCAACTTCCCACAGGCGTATTTTAACCGGTGATGTATTCACGTTTCAGCACTAAAAAGGCTCCCTCGGACCCCTGCATTCCCAGTTCTCTTCATAATTACGAATTTTTTTTTTTTTTTTTTTTGAGACGGACTTTCACTGTTGTTATCCAGACTGGAGTGCAATGGCACGATCTCGGCTCACCGCAACCTCCGCCTTCTGGGTTCAGGCAATTCTCCTGCCTCAGCCTCCTGAGTAGCTGGGAATACAGGCACGCGCCACCATGCCCAGCTAATTTTTATATTTTTAGTAGAGACGGGGATGGTCTCGATATCTTGTGATCCACCCGCCTCGGCTTTCCAAAGTGCTGGGATTACAGGCGTGACCACCCTGCCCGGCCTCATAATTACGATCTTTTTTGATGCACTTAGCTCCGTGTTCCTCCAGAAAGCGGCCGCTTTGTTCCAACCGCCTAGCGCTGCGCAAAGCAAGTGCCAGTAACTTTTGAATGGCTCAGGGCTCCGAGCGCAGGGCCGCCCTGGGACGAGGCGGATGATGTGCTGCACCTCAGTTGGTTTTCGAGATGGACCCTCAGAAACCGCCCCGTGGGGCTCCAAAGGGGCAGATGCTCCAGCCTCCGGGACAGAATGAACGTGAGCGAAAGGCTGGAACAACCGCGCCGGCGCAGCGAGGAACTTCCGCTCAGAGCGAGGGCGCCGCCCCTCCTGGGTGCCCGCCCCAGCCTCGCTCCTCTTGATTCCCCCGTCCCCTGCCCAGCCCCTCCCAGTTCCCCCTCCGAGCCAACTGAAAAAAACAGTGCGCATGCGCCGGGGACCTGGAAGTGGCTGGATCCGGGGCATGCGTGTTTCCATGAGTGTGGCGGAGATGGGGAGCCAGGAACCCTCCGAGCCCCCGTCGCCGGGAGACGCGACGCAGAACAGCGCCCGGCCTGCGGACCGCCACGGCCTGTTGAAACACAGCTGTGGGTTCTTGGACTTCTGGGACATTGCGAAGCCTGAGCAGGAGACGCGACTTGCGGCCACGAAGCTGCCGGAGTATCTGCGCGCTAGGCCGAAGATGGAGCGGCGGGTTTGGGGCAGGGGCCGCGCACTTCCCGACAAGGAAGCGGCGGCGGGCCCGGGATTTGGGATGGGGGCACGTGGTCGCGAACCTGGATGATAAGGTGCACGGGGTGTGCAGCTTCTTGTCACCGTTCAACGCGAGGGTGCGCTTGGTTCCGCAGGGGTCTGAGATGAAATACGCCCTGAAGCGGCTAATCACGGGACTCGGGGTCTGGCGAGAAACAGCCCGGCCCTGCTACAGTTTGGGAGGTGCTGTTCCTGGCAGGATCCCAGCCACGCAGGTGAAAACGGTGGGGTGTGAGGAGGGCGGGTGTCTCAGCGCGACGGTGGGGCAGCCGGACAGAGAAGTCAGGAGTGTGTTGGAGGCCAGCCTGAGGGAGCCTCCTCACATGAAGGTGGAGAAAGCGTGAGCAAGGCCTGTCTCCAAAGCAGTCCAGGCAGGGGGAGTGGGAAGCAGAGCAGGTTTTCTTTCTGGTGCTTGCGTTACCCGGCCTCTTAGGTACACTTGCTGGGAGCAGTGAGCGCTGGGTGGGGTGGGCTCCCTTAGGCCTGCAGGGCATTCAGCTGATTGGAGTAGCCCACTCTCTGAGGAGCCCTGACAAGGGGAAGAGCAGTTAAGACCCAGGCCCGCCGGATCAGCCTGAGTGGAGCTCAGACCGGGCTATGGAGAGAAGACCCAGTGGCTGAGAATTTCAGCAGAGCAATCCAGGGACTGTAGAAGGCACTTTTGTGGCACCTGTAATCCCAGCACTTTGGGAGGACGAGGCGGGTGGATCACCTGAGGTCAGGAGTTCGAGACCAGCCTGGCCAACAGGTTGACAACCCATCTCTACTAAAAATACAAAAATTAGCTGGGTGTGGTGGTGCACACCTGTAATCCCCAGCTACTGTGGGTGCTGAGGCAGGAGAATTGCTTGAACCTGAGAGGTGGAGGTTGCAGTGAGCAGAGATCAGGACACTGCACTCCAGTCTGGGCAATGGAGCAAGACTCCATCTCAAAAAAAAAAAAAGGAAGCTGCCAAGGCTCAGCTCCAGTCCCAGTCCCAGAACCACTTGCAGACGGTACTTCAGAAATCCTAGCGGAGATGGGGCAGGGAGGCAAGATTCGTTTCCGAGAGCAGCTTCAGAGGCATTCATGGGGTGCGACTAGGCACCCAAGGCTTCCTGGGAGGAGTTGAAGGGGGAAGGGAGGTTGAGTTGTGAGGATGTACTGGGCCACTTCCTGAGCCCCTCTTCCTCCTGGCAGCTGTTACAGTCTTTTGAAGACCTCCATTTGTGCAGCATCCTGCAGCAGATGCAAGAAAAATATGACTTGCATCAGGTGAAGAAGGTGAGAGAGGGCCTGGGGAGGTCAGTAGCCCCGGGGGTGAGAGGCTGGGGGTGGGAAGTCCCACGGCCCCTCATGCTGTGCCTGGAATCCTTTTCTAGTCAATGGTGAGACCTGCTGTCTTTGCAGACCTGTTCAGAGTGCTCGCCCTCTTTCAGTCAGGCTGGCTGGTGAAGGTGAGAACTTTGGGAGGATGGTGGGGGTGGGGGGTGTAGGCTGGTCTTGGATGGGTGGGGGACAGTAGTGGTCCCTGCTCATACCCTCTGCCCCTTTGTGGGGACCAGGACCAGGAGGTGCTGAGGAAGTCAGTGAAGCTGCTGCAGGCCCTGGACCAGTATCAGAACCACTTGCAGGAGCAGCCCCAGAAAGCCCTGGTGGACATTCTCTCACCAGCCTTATGGGCTCGGGAGACACTTCCTGCTACAAAGACATAAAGAGGGCTCAGATGAGAATCAGGAACAGCACTGTTCCATAGAAATATAAAGACATATAATTTGAAGTGTTTCAGTGACTTTGTTGAAAAGGTAAAAAGAGGCCCGGCACAGTGGCTCATGCCTGTAATCTCGGTACTTTGGGAGGTGGGTGTATCACCTGAAGTCGGGAGTTTGAGACCAGCCTGACCAATATGGAGAAACCCTATCTCTACTAAAAATATAAAAAATTAGCCAGGCATGGTGGCATATGCCTATAATCCCAGCTACTTGGGAGGCTGAGGCAGGAGAATCATTAGAACCCAGGAGTTGGAGGTTGTAGTGAGCCGAGATCATGCCATTGCACTCTAGCCAGCCCAAGCCATATGAGAGTGAAACTCTGTCTCACAAAAAAAAAAGTTAAAAAGAAACAGGTGTCATTAGTAACATTTTACATCATCTAGTTGTATACAAAACTGTTGAGCTGGCAGGGCACAGTGCCTCTTACCTGTAATCCCAGCACTTTGGGAGAGCGAGGTGGGTCAATCACGAGGTCAGGAGTTCGAGACCAGCCTGGCCAACATGGTGAAACCCTGTCTCTACCAAAAATACAAAAAATTAGCCAGGCATGGTGGCAGGCACCTGTAGTCCCAGCTACTCAGGAGGCTGAAGAAGGAGAATCACTTGAACCCGGGAGGCAGAGGTTGTAGCAAGCCGAGATCACGCCACTGCACTTCAGTCCGGGTGACAGTATGAAACTCTCAGAAAAAAAAAAAAAATCGTTGAGGTATCATTACTCTTTTTTTAGTGTGTTTCAAAATCCAGCGTGTATTTTACATGTAGGCACATCCCTGGTCAGATTTGCTGCCTTTTAGGCGCTCAGCAGCCCCGTGTGGCTAGTGCCGCTCTAGAACTGAACTCGGCACATGGCAGGTACTGTTGTTCTCCTGGTCAAGGCTGGTCCCTCCTGGGCCTCCACTGCACGACTTGGGAAGGTACACCTAGGCCTTTTTGCCACTGAAGAGAAAGGCAGGGGCTGGGAAGTCCCAGGCCAGGACTGCTGAGGAGTCGACCTCAGAGCCAAAAGGACCTGAATTTGAATCCCAGCTGTCTACCTAGGGCCCCTTTTGTATAAAATTGGCTAGTCCTCTGAAGTCCCAAAACCAGGAATAATTAAATGGGTAGCTCTGGCTGGGTGCCATGGCCCACACCTTTAATCCCAGAAATTTGTGAGGGTGAGGTGGGTGGATCACTTGAGGTCAGAAGTTCGAGACCAGCCTGGCCAATACGTTGAAACCCCACCTCTACTAAAAATACAAAAATTAGCTGGGCATGGAGGTGTACACCTGTAATCCCAGCTGAGGTAGGGGAATCGCTGGAACCAGGGAGGTGGAGGTTACAGTGAACTGAGATCACACCACTGAAGCAAGACTCTGTCTCAAAAAAAAAAAAAGGCAGGTAGTACCGGGCCAGTTAGCATCAGCAAAATGCTTGTCAAAAACCCAGCTGCCTGGGAATTTGAGTTTTTTAGCAAATGGCCTCTGATGACTCTGATGCTTGGCCAGATGGCCCTGTGTCAGGAGGCTGGCAGGTAAAAGAGGCCACACTGGGCTCACCCTGCAGAGGAAGCCACCATTTCTTACCTTTCCACCCTTAGGTCTCAGAGGCCATGTTGCAGGAGATGCTGCCAGAGGTCCTCAGCACTGACTTGGATGCGATGCTCAGCTGTCCTGAACAGCTGGGGCTCTTCCTCCTGGCCCAGCAGAAAGTTCCCTCTAGGCTCAAGAAGCTGGTGGGATCCGTCAACCTATTTTCGGATGAGAATGTTCCCAGGTGTGAGGGAGGTGGATGGATTTGCTCTCCCTGGGGCTGTGGGACTGCATCTGGCCAAGCCCAGATTGGCTGTGGGGGTGCCCTGGCTACTCTTGGCACACTGGCCCTTGCTGGTGAGGCAAGCATTCCCTGAGTCCCCTGCCCCCCACAGGATGGTGAACATGCTGAAGATGGCAGTGTCCTCAGTGAAGAAGGAATGAAAGCTGCCTGCCGTCGCCCTGGAGCTGCTCTACCTGGCACTCAAGGAAGACAAGTTTCTGCAGTTCTGGAAGGGGATGGTGGAACAGGGGCTGCTGAAGCTTCAGTTCTGGCCAGCCAGGTGCGTGTGGCATGTGGCCTCTCTCGGCCCCCTTCCCTGTCTGTAAATTGGGCTGGACTACCAGTCCTGAGGTCCCTGCCGGGGGACCAAGGGCTCTGACCATGCTTGGTCCCATAGTCCCTCTTAGCTACCTGTGTTTCTGCCTGCTGGGCACCACCCTTCCCCTGCTGACCAAGGAACAGCTGCAGCTGGTGATGCAGGGAGACGTGATCCGCCATTACATGGAGCACATGTGCACGGCCAAGGGCTGCTGGAAGGGCTAGGGAGGTGCTCTCCTTGCCAAGAAGGGGAGAGGGCACCTCAGGAGCCTGGCCAGAGACCTGGGTGTCTCCACTGTCTGGGTAGTGAGCTGCCTGAACCCCTTCCCCTCTGACAGATTGTTTTGAGTTGGAGTTTTCTCTTGTCACCCAGGCTGGAGGGCAATGAGGCAATCTCTGCTCACTACAATCTCCACCTCCCGGGTTCAAGCAATTATCGTGCCTCAGCCTCCTGAGTAGCTGGGATTACAGGTGCCCACCTCCACACCCAGCTAATTTTTGTATTTTCAGTAGAGACAGGGTTTTGCCATGTTGGCCAGGCTGGTCTCAAACTCCTGACTTCAGGTGATCCACCCGCCTTGGCCTCCCAAAGTGCTGGGATTGCAGATGTGAACCACTGCTCCCGGCTTCCCTCTGACAGTTTTGAAAAGGAGCGGGCCCCCACTTAGGTGTGGGTAGCCAGCGAGACCACCCTCCACCCCTGCCCATGTTGCGGTGATGAGAACAGTCGTCATGACCGTGTTTGAGCACCGGTGTGCCTGGTGCCCAGTCAGCGCTGCTGGGTTTACTGTTCTCGGCAGCTCATTTTATCTTTGCAGCAAGTTTCCGAGAGCTGTCATTCTGGGTGAGGGGCAGACTTGAAGCATCAGGCAGTGGTTAAGAGCCTGGGTTGGGCGGTGGTGTGCACCTGTAGTCCCAGTTACTCAGGAGGCTGAGGTGGGAGGATCACGTGAACCCAGGATTTTGAGGCTGCAGTGAGCCGTGATAGTGGCACTGCACTCCCGGGGCACAACTGGAGAAAATTAAAATGAGAAGAGCTTGGGCTGTGAGGCCAGACGTGGTCCTGCTGGGAGCCCTCTGACCCTGAGGAGTTTTATTCTAGGCATTTTTGTGTCTCACTTTACTCACCTACACAATGGCAGTAATGGCCAAGCGCAAAGGGTTGCTAAAATGCTAGAACACGGGTCCTGGCCCCGAGGCAGCGCATTAGAGGTGGTTGGGTTGGGTCCCAAAGATGACACAGTGAGGAATTGGTGGCGTAGGCCTTGAACCTGGGTCAGTCTGGCCTCTTAACCACTGCTCTGCCTGTGCGT